AATATATATATATAGATTAAATTTATATAAAACCTATTCAATTTATATGCATTCCCATAAATATTACAAATTATTGTATAAGTCTATTGTTTAATTAATTTTAACTTCATCATATTTTTTTAGTATCCTATTAACATTGTTTTATAATATTTTATGTTTGATCTTATGTACAATTAAAAATTAAAGAGTAAATTTGGAATAGAATAACATGCAATATATGCAATTCAATAGTTCAAAATAGAATTGCTAGAACTATTAATACCGCGGTAGACCTTCTCTTGGCTACTTATAATAGTTAAACCACACTACTCTTCCAACAAATATATTTATACTTTCATACTTAATTGACATGCCTTATAGTGCATACAAATAAAAGTATGACATTTCATAGTATAATAATGCATATTTCGCAAAAAATATATATGTCTAACAGTTAGACAGCCTACCAATTATATATAGCATTTGTGTTAATATCGAGTCAATCATCAATGAGTTTCATGAGTGTAAAGAATGTTGAGCATTTAAACTATTGAGTTATGTCTTTTGTAGTGCAACTTATTAATTAATTTTAAAATTTTAAAATGTAATTATACGCCTATATACGTGTATGTGAGAGAGCATGATATATTAAAAATTATAGTCCCCTTAAAATGTTATACGTGCCAAGTCAAGTAACTCATGTTTAAACTTATGATAGTTTAATAAATGAGTCAGATCAGCTCGACTATTGAGTAAATAAACTAAAAAATGAGCTCAAACTCCGCTTGTGTAAGCGACACTCTACTCGATTTGTTTAATAAGAAAGTTTGAATAGTCATTCTAGTTTGGTTCATTTTAATATATAATGATATGAGATCAAACTTTCACGAGTTGAACAAACACAATCCGGTTCCAATAATTGCTTTAGCCCCTCCCAATTATTTTTCCTAGATCCGCCCCTGCCTGCCCCGAGCTCTTGGTCCGATTATAGACCTATTAGCCTTTGTAATGTTACCAATAAGCTCATCTCCAAGATCCTTAACGGTCGCCTTGCCCCTCTTCTCACTTCCTTGTCTCTCCGAACCAGAGTGGTTTCATCAAGGATCGAGTCATCAGCGATAACATCCTCTTGGCCCAAGAGATGATCCACCACATCTCCCATGCAAACCGGTTACGAGCCCCGAACCTTGTGCTGAAGTTAGACATGACTAAGGCATATGATAGGGTCGAGTGGTCATTTCTCAGGAAGGTTCTGCCTCGGATGGGCTTCCCTGAGCGTTGGATTAGTTTTTTCGAGGCGTGCGTGGAGCATTGCATGTTCTCGGTACTAGTTAACGGTAGCCCCACTGACTTCTTCCTTTCGAGTGGTCATTTGATGTTGGCGACCAGTTTTAAAAAAATGCTCCACTATATATTTGACTACTATTAACGGAGTTGTTCAATTGATTAAATATCATTTAACTTATGGGCTTGTAGCAAATTAATACAAAATTGGTGGATTAAACCTTATTCAGAGGTTTCACACCATTTATATCCAATAACGAGGACTTATTTTATTAGTTTTTTAACTTATGGGCTTGAAGTAAATTAATACAAAATTGGTGGATTAAAACCTTATTAAGAGGTTTCACCATTTAAATCCAATACCGAGGAAAGACCTTGTACGATTAGTTTTTTAACCCCAAAACGTAATCCTGAAAAAACGCAATATATGTGTTCAGAAATGATTTATAAAAGGCATAATAGCGGGAAAATACACGACCTTTACTTGATTGGTCATTTAATCACGCCTTCCAAAACTTGGCAAATAAATACATGATCTTTACATTCTTGGCAACTCGATACACGGATTTAACGTTCGTCAACGGAAAGCTGACGTGGCAATTTTTTTTAACGGCGACGTCACCGAGAAGTTTGACTCAGCAAACAGAAGCCAAATTATCAGTTAAAGCTTGGCAGTTTAATACACCATCTTTGGTTTTTTGGCAACTCGATACACGAACTTAACTTTTTTTGGCAAAAAGCTGCCACATCAGAATTTTATTTTATTTTTTATTTAAATTCATTAAATTTACTGTTATTATTTTTATTTATTTTAATTGTACTTTTACTATTGAAATTATGTTTATAATTTAAATATATAGTGATTACAAACAAAAAATAAATAAAAAAATATTATTTTATTTAATTTTTATTTTGTAATTTATTTTATTCTAGTTTATTAATATTTAATCTTTAAATATATTCAGTATTTAATTAATATATAATAAAATAAATTAATATTAATATAGTAAATAATGAATAATAAATAATAGAACATATATATAGAATTCAATAAAACATATAATTAAAATCTAATATATTTATT